CCTAAAGAGGCTGGAGACGGAATGATAGTCAAGGTGTTCACTGCTCCATGGAACTAGGAATGCCAACACTTTCTTGATCATTTGTGAGTTCATTTTGAAATGAATTCTCCTCTGAAAATACCTGCGCAAAGCACAGCTGAGTATGGCAGTAGGAATTTCGACAGCAGTTCGCTCTCTGATCAGGTGGGGCCCATTCTTGACAGTTTAAGGTTCGCGGGTGCCACTGAGTGTGTTATTAACAGCGGAACTTCTGGCCCACAGGATGATGACCAGCAAGAGCAGGGAGAGTGGCAGCTTCGGCCTGGGCCTGCTTCCATTACTTGGCCGTGGTGGACTGGAGTGGCCATTGTGCTTTTAAATGACTCATTCGATTTTTGGTGGACCTTTTTTTCCTTCTTTTTCAACAGGGCAGTTGCCATACCCGGCTCACAGTGAACCAGCTGTGCTCAAGTAGAAGGGCGTGTCCAGGTGCACAAATGCATCCGTAGCCTCTGGGGCTCTGCCTCTGCGGAGCTTTGTGGCTTTGTCTTCATTCTGTTCAGCTTGGCTGCCGCTCCCTGCAGACCCGGTCTGCTTTCCTTTGTTGCCCTAAATATTTTTCTCAAAGGTCTTTTATTAACTTTTTCTTTTCTGCTCTATTTTCTCTTCCCTTCTAGCTTGTGGCCCTATCACAATGGTGAGAAAGAAGAATACATTCTGTCGATGTGATCAGGTGAAGCCAGAGACACACACACGCACGCGCGCACACACTTTCAACTTTGTCAGTCTCTGTCTTGCTGCTTGTTGGCCAGCTGCGGTGACATGATTGAAAAGAGCCAGCTTTCCCTAGTTAAGACTGTCGCCGTGACCTCCCCTCTTCACCGAGAAGGGCAAAATTTCTGCTTTCTAAGTAGTTACTTGTGAATATCTTAGGAAAAATCAAGGCAGAAGGAGATGGGAGGATTATCAGTTTTCTTTTGTAATCAGAATTGATTGCTGTGACCTTCAGATGGCAGTGTGAGAGACTGCTGATTGTGTGGTTGCTTTAGTTTGTCCCATCTCTCTTGAAAACAAAACCCTAAATTTTAGCTGGACAGTGGTCACCTGGAATTCAGACTGTATTTCCTAGGTACTCTGTAAGGGAGGCATCCCTGTGTCACCAAAATGGGATTAAGTGCTTTCGGTGGAAATACCATGCACATCTTCGTGGGAGTGTCCCTAGGAAAATTTATTTTTCTTTTCTTTCCTCCTGAGGGTGATGTAGGCCTGATGGCTTATCACAGGCAATCATTTTGGGGCATCTCATGAGGTACACCTTAATAGTTTGAGTTGTTAAAACAAAAATACCATAAACTGGGGTGCTTGAATAAGAGAAATTTATTCATAGTTCTAAAGGCTGTTATGTTCAAGGTTACGAGAGTAAGAGATTCGGTGTCTGGTGAGGACCCTGTCCCTGTTTACAGAAGGCCACCTTCTTGGTGTATCCTGGTGGAAATAGACAGAGGTTGTCTTTTCGTATCTGTTCTTATAAGGGCAAAAAGCCTGTTCATGAGGACTGCACCCCCATGGCCTAGTTACCCGCGATCATATATATATGATCATATATCATATTACTATATCTTCCCTCCGAAAGCTGTCACTTCGGGGCTTAGGGCTTCCACGTGTGAGTTCTGGGAAACAGAAACCTTTGGTCCACACAGTGGGGAGCCACGCATTTGCGGGTGTCTGAGCAGCAGGCACAGGGGTGCTGCCCTGCATGTGTGCACGACAGAGAAGCCCTGCACCCTGTAATCCGGGTATTTGTCATCGCTGTCACATGAGGCGGAACGTAATCTTCACCGATGCCTCTGAGGCTGTTTAATATTGTTTGCTGTGAGCGAACTTTCTGAGATGATTCTTTGGTGCTTGACTACACACCTCAGGGAGAGAGGAATGCTTTATCGAGTGGACAAGAAAATCTTAGCTTTCGGTAATAAAACTACGGGAGGTTTTCTGTAGCATCTAAAGTCAGCCATCGCGGGAAGCCACCCCCATGAGTCTTCTTAGAGCCACGGAACTGCATGGCCCCCAGGTCACTCCTCAGTCGCACAGGACACATTTCACGCCCAGATCACACACCCCAGAGCCGAGTGTGAGGAGTGGTGGTTCTAGGAGAGCAGAATGGGGACAGATGTCCAGCACTGTCTCAGCTGTGTGGTCATGGGGCCAGCCTGGACTCCGAGCCGGGCGTGGTTCACAGATCTCCCGGGCTGGGCAGGGCACAGCCACATCCCCAGCCCTTTACTCAGCTTTAAGCCAAGCTGTTCCTGGCTCCAAATCAGTACCAGGCTTCAGGGGTCTCCGGGTAGAGCCGGAGCTGCGTGATGGTGACATGAGCATGTGTCACTGCAAGATGACTGTCCCGTGTGGTTATGTTGAGTTTTGCTTCAGAGTTCTCGCTGGTAGGGGGATTGCAGTTATGGAAAGGGATTAAATGGAAATGAGACCTGTGTTGTATTGGAATCGGATGGAATGGGGTAAACACATGACTTAATAATGTAAGTAGTGAAATCAGTCGAGGTAGTGTGTGTGTGAGTGTATGAGAGTGTGTGTTCTCTAGCTCTGTCTGCTGTTAGTGGGCTGAGAACATTGACCTCACCCCCAAGGACAGTGAGCACACCTGGGCCCAGATTTTGGTTATAAATGTAATTTCCCCCAATCAGGAACCAGAACAAGAAAACCCTGAGCTGCTTACATCAGAGTGAGGCTGTGCTGAGAGAGTGACAGACTGGTCAGGGGGACTTAGAGCCGGCGCGGATGCCGGAGCATCAGCATAAATAATGGGCATTACAATGCCATGGCTAAAATGCGAAGCCTCAAAGCCCCTTGAATACAAATCAGTTGGTCCTGATTTCCTGGCAGCAGTGCTGGCCCGTTTTAGACTGGCTCACTCCTTGTCCGGGCTTTGTCCGCATCCCTGGCTTCTGTCCGCCTGGCCAGTGTGGTAGACCAGTGGCATCTAACAGGAATGTAATACAAAGCACTCAGGAGAGTGGAGATTCTCTAGTGGTCGCTGTTGTTGCGTGAAAAATGTCTCCAAATATTGTCAGATGTCCCACAGGGCAAAAGTGCCTTAGTTGGGGACCATGAAACATGAGTAAATAAAGACTTTGGTGAGGAACAGGATGTTGGCGTAGTTTTGAGGTACTGTTCTTCCGCCTCAGAAGATGTTCTTCCTCCTCGGAAGATGCGCACTGTTACCAGGGGTCATCCTCAGCAGTGGGGCAGATTGGAGCCCAGTGCCTTGGGGACAGGAAGCAGTGAGAACGCAGTGTGTCTGCTGCTCTCCCCAAAGCTGCATAGCCAGAGCCTAACCAAGACCCAGCCAGTAGCCTGTCCACCGGTGACTGTATCGACTACTTTTCAAGACCATGGTAAAATACCAGGCACCAGCCATCCAGGAGTAAATTAGGGTTCATTTTGGCTTGTGATACTGGATTGGGCTGGGCCCAGTCAGTTTGGGCTTCTGATGAAGGTGGCACATATGGCAGAGCCTGGCAACAGGAAGCTGGAGTTTCCATCTCAAGCCAGGAAGCAGAGAGACAGCAAAAGGGATTTGAGAGACCAGGGAGCCACAGGGAAGCCGTGCCTCGTGAAAGTCCACAGTGCCCCCCAGTAGCGCTCCCCACAGTCCAAGCCTTTACCCCGCTTTGGGGGACACTCATCCCATCCATAGCAAGGGTGTCCTGGAAAATAACTTGGCCTGCAGTTTGCCCAGTTGCCAGTGTCAGGAAAGGAAGGGAAGCTCCCGGAGTACTGGAGCCTGGAGAGATTTAATAGCTCCACACAGCATGGATTCTGAACTGAGTCCGTTTTCATAAGGGAGATGGTTGCGGAGCGTCTTTGGGGAGACCAGGGGTTCGATGGCCTCAGTGTTCAGGGTAACCTTTTGTTTTGATGGCTGTCTTCCGGTTATGAGAATATTCTCACTTAGTTTAGAGGACACTAGACCAGCAGCTTGATTCAAAGATTCAGGCCAGGAAAATTGGTCTTGATACTATATTTTGGACCTTTCTATAACTTAGTGATGGGGTTAAGAAAAAAAAAAAACAGCCAGAAGTTGTGGTCAGAAGATAGACTTATTTTCTTTTAAGCATACTGGGATCCAACAGTGACAAAAAAATTCTACCCCTTTAAGGGAAACTACTGCATTAAAAGAATGTTCTTATGGAAAACATATTGAAAAAAATTCCGAAATCTGTTTCTCACATAAACATGTAGATATCTGTGTATATAACGCTGACCACCCAGAGAAGGTTTAGAAACCAAAGTGGAAAGCAGGTCAGATCCCCCTCCCTCCCTCTCTAATTTTTGGGGATCTGTGTGTATTTTCTTTCTTTATAGTTAGGAAAACCATTCTTTAGCAAACTTAATCTGGTTGAGCAGATTAAACTTCTATAATAATGTCTGAAACTGGCGAGTAATCTGCATTTCAAATCAGTGCTTTGAAATGTCAACCAAATGTATTTCAAGGCAGTGATGGAGGGCTTTTACCTCTCACCTTGATCACCTGACTGTGAGGTAGAAGGATTGCCTGTGGATGGTGGGTATGGATGAAGCAGTGTGCTGCTGTCTTCCCCAAGATTGTTTCCTTGTTCGGATATCATGGTTTTTAAGCATCAGTAGGGCCTCCGTGTTTCTCTGCAGTCTTTGCTGGTTGTCGAGTGGCACACGTTGAGGAGGATGGCCAGGGTAAGGCGAGCAGACCAGGTTGCCAAGCAAAGCTGGCTGGTCCTTGTAATGCTTAATCCTGTGACATTAATCTCATTAGCACCAGCTTGCTGTGCTGATTGTACCATTAATTGCCTTTTCTTCATTTGGTTTAACATTTAAAAGATAGTGTTATAAGAATCCGCATTTCTCTTTTAAGCGGTACCACTTCAACCTGTGAAAATAATTTAACAGTTTACCTGGTATCGGCACAAGTATAACTTGGATGCATTTCCTGAATGTGATTTCTTTTTTCTTTCTTCTTTTTACAGTCTCCCTAGCCCATATTACACAGCTGGTCCTCAGCCACAACAAGCTAACAAGTAAGTTAATGCTCTCATTTGTTACATAGTTTCTCGCTTTTAGGTAATGTTACAGTAATGCTGACTCCATTTTTATGTTTCCTTTGAAGAAAGGAATGACAGATGCTTACTTGGGCAAACTTAAAGTTGATTTAGATGACAACTGTGATACATGAGCATATTGTCCTCCTCTGCTTTGTACTTGCCTCTACTTTGAGAATTCCTTCCCTATCACGTGTGTAAACTAGAGGCACCATGGCACTGTTTATCTCAAAGTGGATCCATTTAGAAATGGTAAACGATCTGACGACCAGAAATGCTGGACCACTCATTACCATTTCATGAAAAATAAAACTTAACAAAAATACCAGCATCCAAGTTCTATGCTTTCATCTATATTATGTCTTCAAAGGGGAAAAATTTAACTGTTGAATATACTTTCTTTCCCTGCTTGATGAGGGAAAACGCATAAGCTGGTTGGATTACGTACGTTTGCATCTGCATTTTTCAAATTTTCGAGACTGATCCCTCTACCCCTACCTGCCTGGTTCTCTTGAGCATTGACAGTGTCATGGTATGGGTAACATGAAGTAGAATTTTAATGAGAATATCGCATGTGAATGATGGGGTACGTCATTCTTACTGCTCTGGCTTTAAAGATTTTAATGAAAGGGACTCACTCCTTTCTTATTCCTAATTGACTGTCACCCCTTTGTGCTTGCTGTATTTCCTGCAGACTTGAATGATTTTCTAATCATGTGGCAAGCATTTGTTAGGGATCCCTCCGAGTCCAGTGGAGTTGAGCAGGATGTCGTGTTGGGGGATTTGTGTTGTGGATTTATGTGTGTGTGTGTGTGCGTTACAGATAGCCTGAAGCAGTGCCACAGAGCTGTTGATTATTGAGAATTAGGAGTGGGCGTGAGAAAGGGCCCTCATGTTCAAGAAATGGGTGGATTAGCTCATTTTTAGCCAAAGTGCTATTTGGACTGCAAAGGCAGAGTGACATAGTTGTCACCTTAAGTCTTGGCCACAGAGGGTAAAAGGTGAGACCTACCCATCACATGTAATCCTTGTTTGCACAGATACTATGTTGCTGGTTCCATTGTTTCTATAGAAAGTGGTGCTGCTGTCCACAGAGACCATAATCCCAGTTTGGAAGGGATTTTCATTTGTTTTGAAAGGTGGATGGCACGATCTCTAAATTCCCCAAGACTTTGTGTGCAGGCAGCCTTGATGGTCTTCACTGCCGAGTTCATAAAAGCATTGTTGAATCTGTGTTGTTATTATGGCAGACTAGGTTATCATTAAGCAAGAGAGGCAAACCTGCTGTATTCCTGTTATGTCATTCATCGATCTGTCCTTTAGGAAACTTTTCCAACTAGCTGTTGTGTATTTCCTTTAGGTATCTGCAAAGATAGAAATCTCGGGGATCAAGGAATTAATTTCTTTCTACAGGCATAGAACGTTAGACAGAGAGGCATAAATAAGGAGTTAAATTGTGTCAGCTGTCAAAGACGTTGACTGTGAACGAATCCAGACTTCATATTTCTCTCTTTTCTATATTTTGTTTTCTGGTTTTTTTGGTTTTTTTTTTTCTGTCTCTATGAGACACTCTTGACCTAATCTAGTAAACTCTAATTAATCGTCTTGGTGAATTCTGTTTCCGGCCACGGTGAGTCATGTCACTGCCACCGGATCTGTCCCACTAAGGTCAAATTAGCATCTTTTACTATTTTTCTGGCATTTAAATGAGTGACTTTTCCTATGGTTCTTCAAGTGTTTATAGTAAATATGTCCATCTGATGGAAATATAAATATGCATTAAATGTACGTGGCTGAGCACACCCTCCTGTCACTTTTTATTCTAATCAGTGTCTTTCACTTTCCATTGTTTTTAATAGGGACTGGCTGACAACAGCGCTATATTAAAACCACTGGGACTCCAAAGATAAACCCCTCAGCACCCACTTTTATCTCGCTAATGTTTGTCTTTTGGTGTGCCACTTATACTGCTGTCCGACATTTCCACTTGCAGGAGTGTTTAGAGAGCGAAGGACTGGCTTGCTCAAACAAGACTTCCATTTGGGGACACTATTGGACTTCATTTACTTGAGTTAATGTCTGCAGGGGCCGCTCATCAGTGGGGTACTGGGTTGATGGGTGCTGGTGGTTTTGACCTTGACAGGGTAGGGCAGGTAAGGCCACGAAGAAGCTGATGATGCACTGTATGGTCCTGAAATTCCCAAGGTTTTGTGAGCAGAAATACCTGAAGTTTTCTGTAATGGAGCTCATAAAACTGTTTCACGATTGCTAAGCTAATTATGTACTGTTAGAGCTTTATTTATATTATAATAAGATTATTTAAATGTGGTTTGGGACGATGTTGGTGGTTTTGGGTGAAGTCGGTGGGAGAATTAATGTAGACGGCAGCTTTCCCAGGCACGTGTGTGCTCAAGATGGAGCTAGCAAGCCGCAAGCTTGCTTCTCCCGTGTTGGGCAGGTACGAGCTAGGAACCCAACAGGATAGACACGTTCTGTTCTGGTGGACAGAATTTCAGAATAAATATCCTTTCATGAATTTACTTTCTGGAGCACTGGGGCTAAAACCCAGGGCCTTGCGCATGCGAGGCAGACACTGTACCCCTGAGCTTCACTCCAGCCCAGGTGCAGGGATTTTTGTAAACACCGCTTTCCCCGAGCACTGCCTGGTGCCGCACACCTGGTGCAAGGTGCTCACTGTGTCTGGCTTCCAGCAGCTGCCTCCACCAGCTGCCACCCTAGCCAGCCCTTCCTCCTCCCCTCTCCTCCTGCTGCAGCTCAGCCTCCTGTCCCCTGACACAGACCGGCCGCCGTGCCGATGCGCTGTCCCTGCTCCCGAGCACCCTCTCCTGTCCGCCCCTCCAGGCCCCGGCCACTCTGGCCCTCACACCCTTTCTTCCCCAGCCCTGTTGCACATGGACTCCTCCCTTTCTCCTTCTGTCTCTTCGGGCTTCTTCTCCATCTCCCCAGCTCAATTTTAAGCGTTTACGAGAGCAGGGACCATTTCTCAGTCTGGTTAATGCCCGTGGCCGAGCCACGGAGTGGTGGCCCTGCAATCGGCCACGTCGCTGACCACCGTTGTCCAGAGGAAGCAGATGGTCTCACAGGAAGCCGCAGCCCCAGGTGAGGTGGCGGCCACTGTGACCGGGCGATTTCTTTGGTACTGACCAGTGTGTGGACTTGAGAGGTTCTGGCCGCCACAGACCTCCGTATCCTGGTCATCACGTGCCACTGTCAAACGTACTGGACCTGAGCACCCTAGAGAAGCCTGTCCAAGAAACCGATGTGTCCTCTCCTTTCCAGTCCTTTTGTAGTTGCAGAATAAGGGCCTGTCAGGTCCCAGGGTGCCCCAGAGCATCTGCAGCTCAGGAAAGCTGGGATCCTGACCCCACCATGGGATCTTAGCAACCTGCCCGGGCTTGGCTGAGTTTTACCCTCTCCTCTCTACTCTGGGACTCACTGATGGGCGGGCCTGTGCCCCCTCCACTCAGAATTAGTTTCATATATTTAAATCCACACGTTACTTACTACTTTTCCCATACAACTAATTGTATTCTAGATTTCTAGAGTTTAGGAACCTTTTATTTTTTGAACTCACGTGGCAATCTGAAGGTGGTCATCCTGTGGCGTCTTTTGTTCTGGCCCTTCTGAAGCCTTGGTCTTTTTAGTGACCCTCTTCTTGAGTCACCATTAGCTCTGGGTCTTTTTCAGTTTGTTCCTTAATCTGATCGCCCGGTTTTATAGGGTTGAGGGGTATAAGCTTTGTAAATGTTTTTCACTCTTGAAATTTCTTTTGGAGACAACCATTCTAAAATTTGTCCACTAGAGGTCACTGTTGAGATGCTCATTCCTCCCCCCATCCAGTCTTCACCTAAAAACTAAAATCCAACTTTGGGTTCAGAGGACATTATTTGCTGGCTGTTTGGCTGGGTCCTGTACCATAGGGCTTGTTAATGGTGCCCTTTACATAGGACAGTTTTATCACATTTAGTAGACACTTATAGAAGAAGATACATTGTTTTTCTGTTTGGCTCCTAAAAGTATATATTCAGTTTCTCATATATATTTTTTAGTGTTTATCATGGCTACTTTCTTGAGTTAGGAATATTTCTTCTTTTCCCAATGTATATTGTATATTGTATTACTTTGTATCAGACATATGTGAGATTTTCTTTTCCCGTGAACGGAGATTTAAAATATGTATGTAATCAGATCTTAATTCAAAAATAACCACGTAAAAATCAGGAAAGTGTTCATTTTCCCCATACTTACACTGATTCTTGTTCTACTGTCATTTTGTAGGGAAAAATACTGTACATTATTAAGCGAATTAGGTTCTGCCTCAGCGATAAAGCAGTCTGGTATTAATATTTAAACATGAAGCTTTCTTGATTTTTGAAAATAACTTTGAAAATTATTCCTACAGCAACACCCATTTATAAATATTGAAAACACCTTAAATAGGACAACAGTATTTTTTGTCTTATGACCCATTCGCATTGAGGATTAAGCCTTCAGCATTGTGTGCAGTCAATACAAAGGCTTCTCTGCTCCGTGCAGACTTCAAGGACCTCCTGTTTAGCACAGGCTCATTCCTGGGGGTCTCTGCGTGAAATTGTTTCCTTTTAGACTTTGAAAAAAAAATTTTTTTTGAAGGTACTGGGGATTGAACCTGTTTGTACTGAGTTACATCCTCAGCCCTTTTCTTAGTTTTATTTTCAGAAAAGGTCCTACTGAGTCAGAAGTTGCCCAGTCTGGGCTCAGACTTGTCTGCCTCCTGCCTCAGCCTTCCTGAGTGCTGGGATTACGGATAGGCACCCCACATCCAGTTTATACTGGACCTTTATACTGTCAGAGAAAACTCTCCGGTAGTATTGCTGTACCTGCAGCCTCAGATCTTCACTGTGACTGTATCTTGTTGTTTAACGTATTAGAAATGGCTGGGATGGCAACAACCCCAAGCTTTGTGGTGAAACATAAGT